AATATAAAAGATAGAAAAAATCAACTTTAGACAAAGATTGTAAGATTTCAAGAGGATTACATGATGTTAAGTATGGTTTAAAAAAAATAGTTTACGAGATATTTTATATTTTATCAGAATATGCCAGAATAAACTATAAAATATCTCTAATTATTGACTTTTTAACTTTAATATTTTTATCCAGAATAACTAAAGCAATTATATCAAATAACAAAAATATGATTATATTAAAAAATATATTATATTAGAAATTAATATAAAAAAATATATGATTTTATTTAAAAAAATAACGATCATAAAAAATCTTGACAGTGGCGAATAAATCAATATTATAATCATGTGACTTCGTCAAAACTCTACAATCATTTTGAAATATTTTTTTCTATAATCCTATAATTTCTAGATATTTAAAATAAAATTTTAAATGTTTAAAATAAAATTAAATATCAAAACATATTTATATAAATATTTTTATATATATTGATGAAAAATTTAATTGAGAAAGAAGAGGGAGAGAAAAAGACAGAGAAAGACACAGAAAGAAAAACACAGAAAGAGAAAATAAAATTTGTTTAAATTAAAATAGTGTGTGTTATATAGAATTTAAATAAATATTATACAAAATATAAAAAAGTACAAATGATGCAAAGTAACACAGAGGATACAAGAGACATGATAAGTTAAGGAATAATGTTAGACTAATATTGTCATTGCTACAATTTAGAAATTAGTTCAGTTAATTTTATGGCAAAAGATGATTCAGGAAACCGCTTGGTAAAATTGTCAAGTAGTCAACTATCAAGGTAGTTGCTCTTGTTAACGAATAGAGAGACATTGGCAATAAGGCCATTACAATTCATGACTTGCATTTTAGGTCAATATCCAGATCAGTGTTATTAAGTTATATATATAATTAATATATACAGAATTTTCTAATCAATACCATATAAGAGATGATTCTTTTATAAAAGTATTTATATGATAATAATTTATATGATAATTGAAAAAAAATTCAGAGATATATAAAGAATTTAATTAAAAAAGAAGACAATTTTGTATGAATATATGAATTTACTTTGATAGTGGTAATTATTATATAAATAAAAAAAATATTCCTTTCAATAAAAAGATTTATAATTACATTTATAATTTTGATCAATCTCTATTAAGAAAGAAACTTTTGCTTAATTTGTTTAATAAATATTAAGATTAAAACACTTACGTTTATAATAAGCGAATTGCAAATAATTATAATGACTTCTGAGCAAATCACTTTGAAATTTGCCATTTATATTGTTTAACATTATTGAACATCCACGTTTACACTGTAGACAGAATGTAAAATGATCTGAAAGAATGGAATTATTTAAAAATATACCAACAAGAAATATCTTTTAGGCAATGACTTATCTTCTACTTTAAATTTTTTGGAACTTTTTGGTAAGTTGATAATAATATTGTGTTGTCTGATTTTTTATCATATATTAATTGTTGTAATTAATATATAACTCAACGAAAAATTTTTATCCATTAAAAATATCTCTAATTTGATAAATGTAAAAATGTTAAAGAAAGACATAAGACTTTAAGGAGATTAACGGTTAAATTTAAGCAAATTAAGATGAAAACAATTAATCATAATATTTTAACTTGAACGTTTCGAATTTTACTTAGTTCTCATCAATATAACAAAAAATTTAGAAGAAAACTTTTAGAACATGATGCCTCAATATTAGAATTTTTACTTATAAAAGTAAGGAAAAATACATAATCAAAGTTCCAATATTGAAATATCAGTGGTAAAATAAAAAAAAATGAACAAATAATAATAATAATAATAATATACAGACAAATTAAACAAAAGAAATTTTTAAATAATAATGTATGTAAATGATATAAAAGTATGATATAAAAGTTGTGATAAAAATTAAGAGGCTGTGTCAAAGCTAGACAAACAAGAATAAAAACAATAAAATGATATAAAAACAATAAAATGATAAATACAAAAATAAAAATATAGAAAAAATAGTTTTAATGCTACATAAAATTCAAAAGTTATTTAATATTTTATATTTTTTTGAGTCTAATATTTATAAGTTGTATAAAATGTTTATTAATAGTGATGATAACAAACAGCTATTTCTCATCAATCAAATAAATCCTGTGTTTAAATAAGATTAATTAAAAACAAAATAAATTACATTAATTATATATAGAAAAACAGTTTTTGCTGGATTTGTTTATTTTATTACTTGTTGTCTTCATTAAGACTTGTGACTTACTTGCTACTGAAGAGGTAAATTCAGGATGCCATCCTTGATCGAAGGGGCCCTCGCAATAGATCCTACATTGCTCCTCGGATTCCATGTAGGACTCGAGAGAATTCTCGAACTCGATTACAGCTTCCGCGTAATTTTCATCTTCGTATGCCTGGACTCCCCGAACATACTTTTGCACGAAGGGAGCAGCTTCTAAATTTTTTACCTTTTCCACGGCCACGCCAGGAAGATTTAAGTAGTATTTCAGATTCTTCCTGATTATTTCGTGATCGGGATGTTGAGACAGAAAAGTGAAAGCTGCGTTTGCCGCATCTTGATATCTTCCTTTCTGTGAGAAATTATCATGAGTATAATATTAATTATATTGCAGATTAACAATTTTATTGCCAGTGTTTCATATTTTGCTTGCGATGTATTAAATGTATTTTTACGTTATACAAAAGTAATTTTACACATTTAAAAAATTATTCTATTCTTCAAAATCAATAAAAACATAGTATTTACAGCATAACACATTTTAGCAATATAATAGACATATTGAAGAATTAATATACAATATTCAAAACATTCTGCACAAGTATTAAAATATAATATTTATTTTTTTATAAATATTAAATAATATTTGGAAAATTCAAATTATATTTGTAGAATTTATAGAATAGAATTTGTAGAATTTCCAGCAAACAGGAAGTTACATGTAAATGTTAATTAATAATAAATGTTAATTGTAATTGCTCATTCAACAATGTAACTGTTGTATAATGCATGTGTTATATAATAGTTACATTGTTGAGTGGACAATTACAATTAACATTTATATTACAAGTAACTTTGTGTTTGCTGGGATATTTTTAAATTTCATTTCTCTCTCTCTTTCAAATTATCTCAAGATTCCTCGATAAGAAAACATTGATTGCTATGCCGGAAATGAAATATTCAAAAATCCTAATTTTGATACAGGTGGTCAAATCAATTTTTAATTACAACCTTCTTTAATTAACGTATCGAAAATTTGACAGAGTTTCAATTATAATATAAATGTCGATGTACAAATTCTCGAAAATGAAGTTATCTAATGAGTGAAGATGTGATGATATGGATCGGTTTTTTGGGTCAAGTTGGAGTTATTTAACTCATAATTTACGCAGCAAAAGCAGGCGCAGTATCCGCCACGCCGAAATTGCGTAATCCACCAGATTAGAAACCGAGGGATATGGTATTTTCGTATTGCTTTTTACGGGACTTTCTGTAGGCGAGAGAAAGACATGCGTTTATGTAGAAACACGAATCTGAACGACGCAATTAGACCGTTTATCAACTGTAATATGAAAGAAATGCGTCATAAAAATTAAACAAGATTACATTTCAGTATTTAATGTTGTAGAAATATATCTTTTTGTAATTTATCTATAAGAGACAATATGCAGAATTTGATTTGTACTTAATTCGTTTATTCATATAACAGAGATCATTTAAACTATATCATAGAAATAGTTGTAATTTTATATTATGTAAATAGTTATAGATAAATATTTGATGAACTTTCGTACCTGAAAATAACAGATATGGAGATACTCGTAGATGGCAAGGTTAATGAATTTTTTCTCCGTGGAGAGTGGGAGTCGTTTAAGCGCCCCCGCACCTGCAATTTCTCGATAATCCTGATTACATTTCATTAAACAAAGTGTCTCCTTCACTTTTTTCTCATAAAAATGCAAGTCCTCAATGTCCTGCGCAAAAATTGGCGAAGAACCTGCTGCCTCGGCTTTGCATTTGCGCCGGCAAATTGTCACCATGCGTTTATACGTTTTGTATCTGTAAGATTTGTATTTCATAAAATTCATAAAATATAAAATATATTAAAAATATTGAGTTATTGCGTATGCATAGCAATCAATATTTAAAAAAATTTCTTAATTTCAATATATTTTATCATATATTTCAATAAAAAAAGCTTTTCTTCAAAAGTATGATCTTCTAGTTACTATTTAAAAGATTTAATTGTATTATATAAATTTAAATTTAGGTTTTTTATTAAAATATTTAATTTAAAATAATAAATATTTTTTGATAATTATAAAAATATTAAATACAATTTTAATTAAAATATTTATAAATATTTAATATTTGAAAATTAAATATTTTTAATAAAACAAATTTAAATAATATAATTAAATCATCCAAAAGAAGCTTTATTTTTTTGTCTTAAAATTAAACATCTTTTATTAGTGTAGTTGACTATCATATAAGAATGATTGTTTTTAGTATTCATTTTGTGTATTCTTGTTTACAAAAAGAATTTTTTTATCTCTCTTTTCCTAAAAAATATATTTTTTTAAATTTATTAATGTAATCTTAAATTATTAATAAATACGTAAAAGAACAAGCAAATCCAATTTTTTCTTCAGGAAAAAGTTCCGAAGAAACACCATAGAAACGTTTCTTTTAATGAAACGTAAAATTAATAATAAATTCAATATTTTCGAATATTAATATACATTGGGTGCTCACGAATAATCTTTCTTGTAGAATTTACATGTATGATTTGAAATTTATATTAAGAAATATGCAAAATGTTTCAGAAACATCCGACGTGTATCTTTCCTTGAAAATGTGGTCCCAGATAAAAACATTCCGTTTGATTTAAAAAAAAAGGTGAATCTTTAAATAAAGAATTAAAGTGTTTAAAAATTAAAAAAACTTAAAAGTATCTCGTAGAATTCATATACATTCCCCCTGAAGTTATAAAAGAAGAAACATTTTTTTCTAAAACCTCTTGTGATTTCCAGAAATTTGAATTAAAATGCATCCATTCATATTGTAGCACATCAAACGCCAGGTGGCAAGGGAAATCTCAACGGCAACGGATACTAATAATTACGATGTACCCGTGAAGAGAGTCGCTGAATCCCGCGATGCAGCCGTCCCAGTTCTCCTCGAGGTACGCCTGGACCGCGTTCTCGTAGATCTCGGCGAGCGTGGCATTACGCATTACGTTTCGTGCCTTCGCTGATCCGTCGCTATCGATCTCGTTGATTTCGATCTCCTCGGCGCGACACGCGCACACTCCGAGGAGGAGAGTCACCAGCGATAGAACGAATCTCATCCTCGCTCATTCTCTCGCAACTCCTCCCAACGAACTGCACGGACCGTCCCGTGTCGCGCCGGTTTTCAATTCGCCAGTCTCGGACGCGTGGGACGTGGTCCATATATTATAAAAAAAAAAAATTGCGATGAGATTCGCGAGGTCATAGCAGCGCGTAACATTACCGACGTTGAGTCGATAACAGTCCCGTGCGCGCGAATTTTTCAAAATATCAGCAATTATATAAAAACAATAGACGATGTTTATTGATGGTTTTTAGGAAATCCTATTTTTTTTTCTTCTCAGCAAAATTTAAATATGTTTATTATTATTTATTCCTCGTTAAAAAATATACAAGTCTGTTTTCTTTTTCTTTTATCGATTTTTTTTTGTTACAGTTAAGAAAATAAACAAACCATTAATGAACATATTTTCATACGATTGGATTTGATCTTGAAAAATAATCAATCATTTTATGATAAATTGGAATATTTATGAATCTATTTACAAGAGCGGGGAAAACTTCAAACAGTATTAATAGAAGCTGCGCTAATCGTTATGATTAAAATTCCAATTAAGATAATTCGTGTCGTCACAAAGAAGTGCCTTTATTTACTCTTAAATAGAATGGTTCAATGAGTCATCTCCGATTATTTCCAATGTTCTGCTCCACTGAGCTGAAGAATTGTAGGTAGTTTGATGAGCTTGAGCGATTTAAAGGTATTGCGAATAGACGCTGAAGCGAT